TAATTGACTTTTTTTTTTTTACCATCCTTTGGGTCTATGAAAACATGATAAATGTTATTGAATTATAATTTCTTTGAAGTGAATGGAAGCTTTAATCCAACAAGAAAAAATGTGTGTTAGTCCACCTTCTTACATCACATTTTTAAATAAATTTTAAATATTTAAATTTTACAGCATAGGAATGGATAAATGAAAGAAAACTTTACCCTTTTAATCAGAAAAAATAAACTTTCCCGGTTGCTCTTTTTCGCTTCAAGTGTGCACTGGCCAAGAAGAAAATTCTGGACAGTTGTCACCTGATGGAATTAAGGTCTTAAGACAGGATCAAGATTACTTTATATGAATTAAATATTTTTTTTAAAAACATAGAAAAGTAAGTTTTTATGTGACATTAGGGTCATCTAATGTTCTGTATATAGTCTACAGGACTAAATAATCATACAAAATAAACCAAAATCAGCAGTAAAACAAACTTGCAAATTTACTAAACACACATTTCTTGCCCTAATCTCTCTATAAAGAAAGGATTAAGTCCTTTGAATATGCAAGTCACACCAGGCAATAAAAACACCAGCACTTCAAAAGAAAATATATTGAGAGCAATAATACAGCTGGAAGGCAAGCAGCAAAAATTCTTCTTTTCTCTGTCTTTCACTCTTTGACATCCCATTCTTTTATAGTGTCGCTTTCATGAACACTGCTCAAAGGAAATTAGGACAGGAAGGCAATTAATTCACTGCTTTTTCTTCTTTTATCATTAAAAGAAGCTTTCTCTACTTTCATTTATTAAATAGTATTGTATATTTTAATTACTTACATTTCTTAAATAATATCACTATATTACTCTAAAATTATGGAAAAAAAAGCGAATCATTCAGTGCATGTACAGACCCCCGACTCCTTATATATATGTATTCAGATGTTGTAGTTGCCTGTATAAATTGTTGAATGGAGTATGTATATATGTCTGTGTCTATGCAGAACTGTATGGGTCATGCATATGTGCAGTGTTTCAATCCAGTGTTATTTTTGTATTTGTCCATCTTGTATATATACTGATGAAATAAAGGGATCTATTTAGAAATTGTGGCTTGGCTTTTGATTGGTCTGTGAGCCATGACATCATATCCTGGTTGGGGACAGATCTTGTCTCTGATTAGCTCACCAGACTGTGACATTTGTATCCTCGTGAACATTACTGATGAATTTGTCAGACTATGAGATTATATCCTTGTTTGAACTGTTTTTGATTGGTTCATGGAAATATGACTTCATGGCCAAATTTTTATCTATTTTTAGAGATAGAAAAATATTAGTCATTGTCTCATTAAATCATCATTTCCCCATCACAAATTTTTATAATCTAAAAATATTTTCTGGCTTTAACTAATCTGCAAAGAGTTAAACTGTAGAAAATGAATTGATCAGTCAATGAAATACTGATTAGCTACGCAGGCATATCTTTCAAATTTATTTACATTCTCTGGGTTACAAATGTATAGAAACTATTGTGTCCACAAAGAGAGGGATCAGTCTATATATTGATTGTAATATAGGATTGTTCCCCCATATCCACATTATAATTTCTTGTTTATCAAATTTTCCTCCTCCCAGCAATGGGTTAATTAGTAAGAATTGTATCACTAAATCATTATCACCCCCCCACAAATTCTTACAATCTAAAAATATTTTCTGGCTTTAAATAACCTGCAAAGGGTTGATAAGCTGTGAAAAACAAATCAGCCAATCAAATTTTAGTCTCCTTGTTATTATTTGTCTCTACAGATTCATGTAAGTTCAAAGTGTCCACCAACTGCTGGAATCAGAATTTGAGCATGTCTCATGAATTTTAATCTCCATATTGATCACCATTATGACCCCTACACCCATCTTTCCTCATTTTTTTTTCTATTTTTGTCTTTTACATTTTTCAAACTGTTGTCCTCATCCTTGTTGCCATATTCACCATATTTTGACCGTTGTACACTCCAGCCTACTTGAAGTGAATGAAATTTTGAACCAAAGCTTTTTTTTTTTTTTTTTGCTCACTTGGGTAAATTGTTCTAGTTCCACGTGCTATGCCTCTTCCGGATATCTCAGTATCAGTTATCTTCATTTTAACTCTGCAAGTTTTTATCCACCTCTGCTGTAGTCAGGTATTGAACTCACAACCCTTTGGGTCAATTCACTGGATTCAACCAATGCTTTTATCCACTGGACCATATGTCCTTGTTTCCACCAACTTTTTGTTTACCCGTCTTATGAGCAACCCACTGACTGAAACACGTGAGAGGAGAAATAGATTCACAAAGGCTAAAGTCAGAAAGTTTTCTGTTTCTTTGCTTTCATTCCAAATATTATTTTCATGTTTCTTACCATTTTTTCTCGTTTGTTTTGCAGGCCTGTCGCTCAATGTGCATGTGGGTAAGAGCAATGGATTTGTATGCCCACATTTATAGAAATGTGGAACCAAAAAGACAAAGGTAACAATAGTATACTCTTATTTCATATCACTTTTATTATGAAATGGACAAAGTCTGAAAATTATTTTAAGACATTTTTAAAAAGAATGTATAAACATAAAAATGTCTTTTTTTATATATATATATATATATATATGAAGGTGTATAAAAAATGCTTGTGCACACATACACACACACACACATATATATATATATATATATATATATATAGTAGTATATTTAGGCAGCAATCCTCTGTTCATGCATGTTTCATTAAAAACGACAGACAAGGTACTATGATTAAGCTTTTTATTTAATTTTTCTTGTGTTCAAACAACAGCTTTCTTTTCTGAACAAAGAGTTTGTAAAAACTGTCCAAATGTTTTATAGTTCCGACTGCTTTCAGCTATACCTTTAGCCATTATCAAGGAGGATTCAATTTTTCAGCTTAATTGAGTGTGTGCATAATGTGTATGTTTTAGTGTGTTGTCGAGATGTTTTTAATTTCCGAATATGGTTTGCACATTGTGGCCTTGTTCATTGTTAAGAGTTAGCTTTTTCTTTTTTATTAAATCTTCCATTATTTTTAATCTTTTTTTAGAGGTGGTTGAAGTTATTATATTTGTGTTTTCTACTAGTATGCTTCTAATGGAGTCTGGTAAGTTTGTGTGTATTTAAATGTGTTCTGATGGAGCTGTGATCAGATAGGTGTAACGTAAGATGTCTGGATAAGCATGTGGTTGTGTAACTGATGTAATTATTTATGAGTCCGGTTTGATCAGGAACACAGTACCTTAATGGGCATTTGATCTCATAGATAATGTTCGTTCTTTGTAATTTTGACTTATTTGATGTGTTCTTATTTTTGAGGATAAGGTTGGCTGTCTTAAATTTTTTATAATAGATAATTAATTTGATTTTTTTTATTTGGGTCAATTAGGGTAGTGTATTTCTTTACAATAAGTCTTGGTGAAGATTCATCTTGTTTGTAGTTAATGTAATAAATGTCTTTGTAAGTTTTGTAATAAATGTTTATGTAATTTTTGACTGTCTTCACTATCGTTATTACTTACTTTGGGGAGAAATGGTCTAATTTGGTGGTCTATAAGGTTGTTAGGGAAGCCGTTGTTGATTAATGTTTGTTTTAAATTATTAAGTTCTTTGAGGAAGAGTAGTAGAGAGGATGAATTCTGGTGTGCTCTATTTAGAAAGTTTTTTGTTACTGCTATTTTGTACCTAAGTGGGCATTTCGCTTTTAAAGTTAAGGTAGCATGAGTTTTTGCTAGTGGGTTTTTTATATAATGAGGTGATAAAAGTGTTATTGCTATATTCTACAAGAACATCTAAGAATAGGAGTTTGTTTTTTTGACTAAGTTCATAGTAAAGTTAAGGATGGAGCTTTTCTCAAATATGGTCTTAAGTTTTCAATGTCAAGTGATGGTATTATACCTTGGTTTGATTTAGCAGTTTTTAAAATTTGGAGGAATTCGTGGGTGGATGTGATGCTGTAATTGGTAAGTAGGTGTGGAGTGATGATGTTGTTCAAGAATTTTGATAGCTTGTAGATAGGTGTTGGCATCTGGGAAAAAATTGGTTGTAGCGGATATCCAAGTTTATGAGTTTTTATATTTCCATATAAATATCCTGGTTGGTAGTCTCCAATGACTTTTTGAATTTTCAGGGAACCGACTTCCGCATTGTGAGCTGTTATTAGTTTGTTGACAAACCTTTTTAAGTCTGCAGTGGGATTTTTTTTCACATACACATAATGCACACACTCAATTAAGCTGAAAAATTGAATCATCCTTGATAATGGTTAAAAGTATAGCCAAAAGTGCTTGGAACTATAAAACATTTGGAAGTTTTTACACACTCTTTGTCCAGAAAAGAAAGCTGTTGTTCAAACACAAGAAAAATTAAATAAAAAGCTTAGTCAGAATACCTTATGTCGTTTTTAATGAAACATTTACACACACACACACACACATATATATATATATATATATATATATATATACACACACATGGTGCAATGGGTAAGTTGATGCCATTTTATATTTTTAATTTTGTGCATGCGCAAAGTTTGTTTTTGGTTTTGTTGACTTCACAGTATAGTAGGGTCAGTTGGGCACCGTCTGGGAGAAAGGAGTACTATGTTACAATTCACTTTGCCTGAAATTTGGAAACAGTATATTGTACTGCTTGGCATTCATGCTGCAAGCTCCAATAGGAACATTTCAGAGTGTTTGGGTATCAATCTGAAGACAGTGCGGAGAATTCGGAAAGAGTTGTATCAGTCTGATGGTGATTAAGATGATTCAGCAGCTCATAAAACTCACTCTGATTGTTCTGAAGAGAAAAGAACTCCTGAATTTGTTAGTGAGATCCAGGCCATGATTGAAAACGATCTCTTCAAGTCAGTCAGATCCATAGCCAAGGAGATAGTGCTGCTTTGGGTCAAGAGGGTGGCTGCTAGAAGAATGTGGAAATAACCACAAATTGGTGCGTGGAAAATTCAAGCTGTGTATTCTTAAGAGAATTCATATGGATGGAGTGAAAACACCAAAATGAATTGATGTGACCAAATTAAAGCAAGCAGGTATATGTGCAACTGTGATGGAAAGACTTGATAGCCTTGACTTCGACATTACCTGGAGAACTTTAGAGACCAGGTATATTCAGTTGGAGCCAATGTACTTGGTTTCAGAATCAGGAAACTGAAGGATTGGTTTGATGACAATAACATTCATATCAAACAGTTATTGGGAACCAAGCACACTCTATATGAAAAGCTACTTAACCAGAAATTTTGAAAAGCAACCAGCAGATGAGAATGCTTACAAGGACCACAAGTTAATTCTATAACGTGAACTACACAGGATGAAAAATGATTGGTGGATTGGTGGAGGATATCCAAACCTTCAACATCCTCAAATTATTGACCTTTGGTCCATCAAATCCTCAATTACCCCTCTGAAGTCAAAAGACAATGCTAATACCATCAAAGGACCAGAAGAAATACTTCAATGATGAAAAGGTCATTTCACTGATCTATTTGATAATCCTTCTTCTGTCGATTGCAGCATTATAGAGAGCCTGCCACAGTGTGACATTGTACACCATTTGGATCGTCAACCTATTCTTCACAAAGTCAAACAGGCAATCAAACAAATTAACTCTGGTAAAGCACCTAGTCTAGATAGCATTCGGGTGATATTACTGAAGGTTGGAAGTCAGAACATGACAGAAATGATAACTAATCTTATTATTGATTATTAGAATGGGACCCTGATCCCATAAGACTGGGTCGATGGTATCTTGCTCTCCCTATACAAAGGGAAAAGTGAAAAATCAATATGTGGTGACTATCGAGGTATCACTTTGTTGGAGTCTGTTGGGAAGGTTTTCACGAAAATATTACTTAATAGGCTGGAAGAAGATATCTATCCTGTAGCTTTCCCAGAAACACAGAGTGGTTTTAGGGGTCGAAGTGGGACATTTGATATGATCTTCTCTGCGCGAAGGAGTCAAGAGAAAGGTACTGAGCTGAACATGCCCCTCTATCAGTTATTTGTAGATTTGACAAAAGCTTTCGACACTGTTAGCTGAGATGCTTTCTGGATAGTACTCAGAAAGGTAGGATGTCCATCAGGTTTTGTGGAAAGGGTTAAGCAGCTGCACAGGAATATGAGAGCCCAGGTTACTTTCAATGGGAAATTCCTATTGACAATGGCGTAAAGCAGGGCAATATTCCTGCTTTCATGCTTTTCGCTATCTTTTTTGCTGCTCTACTTGTGCATGCTTTCCAAGTTTGTGATGAAGGCATTCATTTGTTATTCAGAACCACTGGAGGGGTTTTCGATCTGAGAAGGTCCAATGCCAAGTCGAAAAATTAACAAGCTGAGCTACTTTATGCAGACGATGCTGACTTCTTAGCTAATACAGAAGCTGGCGTGCAGCATATTGTGGACCATTTCTCATCCTCATGCACACATTTGGTCTAACGATAAACCTCACAAAAACCAAAGTAATATTTACTCCTGCCCCTGTAGAGCCATATATTGAGCCCAACATCTTTGTTTATGGAATAAGATTAGGGTTAGTTGAGAAGTTTGTTTACCTTGGCAGCACAATTACAAAAGATGGCTCACTGGATGCCAAAATATATTTACACATCCAGATGGCCTCTGCAGCCTTTGAAAAGCTGGAAAGGAGAGTATATGCAGCTTGTAACATTACCAACCATACCAATCCCTGTGTGGAATGAAGTTCATGTCTGTAAGTTCAGGGAAGCAGGAAGTGGGGGAATTGATATTGGAAGCTAAAGGGTCAACTTAAACCTTAACTTGCCAAAGACACCTGAGTGATTTTGGTTAGCTGATTAAGGCAAAATTATATTATGGAAATTTGAATTTGTTTTTATGTCAACATTTGAACACTAATTCATTATTGTATTTTATTATTTTAATTTTTTTTCTTTTAAGCATAAATCACAACTATCTCTAAAACTATTTGGAGTTTTTGCAGAACCTATAATTTTCCAACTGGAAAATTATGGAATCTGCAAAAACTCCCAAGCCCTCTAACTCTTCAAATGTTGACCTAAAAAACCATAAACTAATTCTAATTCCCATAGAGGAATTTTGCCTTATTTAGCTACCCTAAGTCACTCCCCTCTGCCTCTAATACCTTTTATAATATTAATATTATATATTAATTATAATTTATAAACTTTCGTCTACTTAGAATATCTCCCTAACTTTCTTTCCATTAATCCCTTATCTCTCTTTTATTTATTTATATATATATATATATATATATATTAAATTTATTTTTGGGTTCATTTTTACTTTCTTCTTTAATTTTAAATTTAAATTAAAAATTTGCATTTTCTTCTAATACCCCCACTTTCTCATCATGAAGTTAATATTGTTTTTTTTAATAAAACTCCTCCCCTTTAAGATAGATACTTACCACCCACCTTGAGCTCTGTCTCATGCTATTGTCTGACCGAAACTGTGAAAAGTGTAAACTCTGTATCAGGTATTTCCAGCGAGTTAAGGTTTAGGTTGACCCTTTAGCTTCCAATATCAATTCCTCACAGTTAACTGCTACTTCCTGCTTTCTCTGACCTTACAGACATGGACTTAATTCCACACCGGAGTTGAAAAGACAGATAACCCCTTTCATCGTCTGTCAAAATAGCCTATTTCCCATATGAGGTAAAAGGATTTGATGATTATTAATTATATTGCTCTGTATAAATAAAATACAGCAATCTCTTTTTTGTGGATCAGTTCTAATATTTTCATATTACTAGGATCTACTTGGATTATATACCAACAATTTTTTTACCTTACTATATATATATATATATATATATATATATATATATAATTAATACAAATATAAAGTTTGTCACATAGCTGGTTGGTGTTACCTTCAGCATTCCAACTCTATAGTTTTGTAGAAGGACCTTCCAGCAAACACTGTCCACTCGTCAGTGTGTGTGTGGGGGGTATATATGTATGTATATGATTAAAGATCACAAATATTTGTTTTTCTGTTTTTAGGTTATTTTCTTCTTTTCTTAAAATATTTTAATTGATAGTTGAAGGTTTCAGTCAAGTTTGTTATATTCACTTGTGTACAAATACCCTTGAGAAAGGTTTGAATCCAACTCTTCTTCCCTCCAGCTATGGGTTAATTAGTAGAACTTGAAAAAAATCATTATTTAAAAAAAAAATTCTTACAATCTAAAAGTATTTTCTGACTTTAAATAACCTGCAAAGGGTTGATAAGCCATAGAAAACAAATCAATCTACTGATTAAGCAGAATAAATTAAAAGAAGAAATTAATAAGACTTGTAAACCATTATTATCACCAATATGTATTATTACAATCTAAAAATGTTATCTGGCTTTAAATAACCTGCAAAGGATTGATAAGCTGTAAAAAAAAAGTCAATCAAATAACAAATGTTATAATTTCAATAAAAACCAAAGAATAGGAGATTGACTTATTTAATCCAACATATAAGATCCCAAAATGATCTTTTCATTGTTATGTTCACAATTTGCTTTTTGTTTCTATCTCATGGCAGACTGCAAACAGCCCAAGAAGAGCTTGATGCTGTCATGGAAACATTAAAAGAAAAACAACAGAAGCTAGCAGATGTCGAAGACCAGATAGCCCAGTTGCAAAAAACATATGACAACAGTCTGGCCGAGAAGCAGACTTTGGAGAGAAACATTGCTCAAACAGCAGCTCGTCTTAAAAGAGCCTCAAAACTGACGACAGCCCTTGCTGATGAACAAGGAAGATGGAAAGAAAATATTATGGTAAGAAGAAGCATTTATCTTTCAGGTTTTGTTGCATTATTTTCAAATTCTGTGCAGCCATCTTTTGTAATTTCCATCTATAAAACAATCTGGCACAGGCTGGTCACTTAAATTCAAAACTGTGATGGCATCCATCATTGTAGACCATTCAACTTCTATACTGAAGTATATAATTGGACTCAAAAGTTTTAAACCTTCATGTTTATTAGACTATTTTTCACAGATACACATATGTAACAAAGATATATACTTAAAAAACTTTAAAAGTTAAAAATGTATATTTTATTTTTAATTATATTTTTTTAGACATATATTGAGCACTTTTTAATACTACTATTTCCTGGTCTGATTCAGCTCTCACCATTAACCTTTTATGCATTATGTATATAGTTATTAAGAGAAGCAGGTGAGTGTCATGACATGTCTGCCCCAATCTCCTGACCTCAACCCCATAGAAAACTTATGGAGCATTATAAAGTACAGGCTCTCGAGAAAGCAGTTGAGCAACATGCTCCATAAGTTTTCTATGTGGTTGAGGTCAGGAGATTGGAGCGGCCATGTCATAACACTCACCTGCTTCTCATCAAATTATTCCTTCATCAATTTTGATTTGTGACAGTGAGCATTATCCTGCATAAAAATGAGCTTGGTGGGGTCGATTTGCATCCTTTCAGCAGAAGGGAGTAGACAAGACTCTAAAATTCTCTTGTACTGCACGCTCCTGGGGATTTTTCAATAGGTTTTAAGAAACCAGTTCCATGAAAAAAAAAAGCATCCCCAGAACATTATACTGAACGGATGCTTGACAGTACTTACTGCTAACTTCAAAGAGCTTTCAAAGCTGCTTCTTCAGATTTTAGATCACTCATCCTATAAATTTAACTCAACTTTTGTTTCATTGGAGATAAGAACATTTAGTAAAAAAATCAGGTGAGTCACTTTTATCGAACAGCACTGTATAAGATTGTTTTGTAGAAAAAAAACAGTGCTTTTCTGGAGATATTAAATATTATTGATATTAAATTTTATCATAAATATAATGTCTTAAAATGTATAGTAAATTTAAGTAAATAACATTGTAAATTTCACTATTAAATCCCTTGATAAACAGAAGTCAACTATTTAGCTAAAACTTTCACTATTCTAAATGCCATAACGATGAGCTCTTCTGAATAATTACCATGAAAGTACTATATAAGATGGTGATCATAAATTGTGAATTTGTTTTAATTTCTCTAGATGCAAAATAGAATTTGCTTTAGCCATATGTGTGCCACTATATTCTTTTGTTTTCCACTTCTACCAAATTCTTTACTAGTACCACCATTTTGACTTGCTCTTAAATACTCTTGACTGTATCTTCTCTTATACTTCCAGATTCCCATGTCTCTAAATTCTTATATGTTTTTCTTTTTGTTCAGGAATTTACAGCCCAGCTGGGTAATGTCATTGGGGATGTGTTTGTATCAGCTGCCTGTGTTGCCTATTATGGTGCTTTTACAAGTGTTTATCGAAAAGAACTGGTGGATGGATGGATTTCTCATTGCGTTCGACTTGAAATACCTATTTCAGATGGACTAACTCTTGTCAAGGTCTTGGCTGACCCTTTTGAGATTAGACAATGGAACACAGATGGGCTCCCTAGAGATCAGGTGTCCATTGAAAATGCAATCCTTGTGACAAAAGGTCATCGTTGGCCACTGATGATTGATCCTCAAGAACAGGTATGAATGCCTATAGAAATCTATATATAAAATTCTGTGACTTCCTTTAGTCTCTGTCTGTCTGTCAAATCCTTTAAAATAGCCATACATTGACTGATCAAAACCAAATTTTGTGGAGACGTGCAAACAGGTAAGGGGCTACAGAGTACAATTAGTGATACTAGCTTAGTGCAATAATTTTGCATTCATTTTTTTTAAATTAAGTTTTATTATTTAACATAAAAAACACTTTTACTATTTTCAAAACAATTTAATGATTAAAATAACAAATACTTCTTTAATAAAAATGCAACATTGTTTTTTGCGTATCTTTTCTTTAAGATTCTTTAGATACAAGAATCCAATTCCCAGTTCAACCTGAGTTTGTGAGAACTATAAACAAATCTCAAGGCCAAATGCATCAAAAAGTTGGAATTTGACACCAGAAAGAAATATTTATGCATGGTTGTATGCTGCATACTCAAGAATAAGAAATCCTCAGAATTTTTTCTTGTTAAAAAAGAAATTTTCTTAAAAATATTGTTTACCATGAACTCCGACAGAATTAAATTAAGCAAAATTATTAAACCGCAAAGTAGGGTTTTTGTCATGGTATTTTTCCAAGCAAATCACCTTATTCAAATTTCATTGATTGGTTTGTGAATTTGATGATTTTACTAGACCGTTTTTTAGTATTTAATGTAGGGCCATTACTTTTCTATTCTCAATATTTTTATGCATTTATTATTTTAGGCCAATTGTTGGATTCGGAACAAAGAGATGAAAAATAATCTGCAGATCATCAAACTTAGTGATACCCATCTTCTTCAAACTCTGGAGAATTGCATTCGCATTGGAATTCCAGTGCTTATTGAAGATATCGGTGAAACCCTGGATCCTGCTTTGGAACCAATTTTACTTAAACAAACATTCCAGCAGGTAAGATTTTCCACTTTATAATCATTTGTTATTCCAATGTGCATATGGATTTTGGGGTCATGCTTTCCATCCTCTGTTAAAACATATGTTCTTTTGTCAAGGAGATACCACTCTAAAAATATTGACCTTAGTGATAATGATAATATTAGGCATTTCCTTATAAGGAAACCTTCAGGATTCATTGACAGATATGAAATCTTGCATCTGTTTGGCAGAGGAATGTCACTGTCAAGAAGATACTATTTCTACAAAATGAGACAATGCAACTTTTAGTAGGAGTTGTCACCACTAAATGTATTTGGTTCACTTGGATTGTAACTGAGAAACATTTTGATTCTGACCATTCAATATAATGTTCATTCAAGAATGATTTGCGGTGGACTACAAGTAAAGATAACTTCACATTTTAAACAACTCTGTAAATTAATAGTGATAGATATGATCACTTATCATCCAATTCACACAAGAGTAGGTGTTTATTCTTTGTTTTCTGCTTAGGATTGGGTTTCTGGTTCCTTCTAAAATCTACTTCAACGTCTCTGCCTAAACTCTGAAATTTTATTTACTATTTATTTATTTATTTTTTTCCTCAATGGGAGTAGATACATTCGCTTATTTTCCTGTTCACACTCCCTGGTCTTTTGAACATGTGTAGAGGTTTATCCCTTGTTTCCTGTTTATGATTGGAATTCCATGTTCCTTTGAAACTATTTTTAATTCTCTTTCACTCCCAGTAGTCACTTGTATCTTAGTAGCATCATTGCCTTGCTTGAGGTGAATTGATTAAAAAAATAACCAAGTAATTACCGAGTAGTTTTCTGTTATTTATTTACAAACTTGGTATTCGGATTAAGAGAAGGATATTACGGGATGTGCTAAACAGGGTTCTTGACCGATTTCTTGGTTGGGCCAGGAACTTTTCAGCACTCCTTTGTAAAATAATCTCCTACCTAAAAAATAGTTGTTGATGCCAGCAGATGTAATTTTTTTTTGTACACACTTTAGAATTTTATTTTATATTCTATTTTGGCAAATCTGAAATTTAAAATACCCCACCTCAGCAAAAAATATTTTGTCTACACTAGTATATATATATATATATATATATACACACACACACACACACACACACCATGCACACACACACAATTTTTATTTTTTTTATTTTACAGGGTGGACGTTTGATGATTCGCTTGGGTGACAGTGACATTGAATATGATAAAAACTTTCGATTATATATGACAACCAAAATTTCCAACCCTCATTACCTACCTGAGGTATGCATTAAAGTGACAATCATAAACTTCACTGTCACCAGATCAGGACTAGAAGATCAAATCCTCAGGTGAGCTTTTGTATCTTAAGTGTGTACGAAGGTGTAAATTAGGATTAAAAAAAAAAAAAGAAAAAAAGAATATGATATATACATTTCTGTAAATCAGAATACAGTTGGGTAATTGAATAGCAAAATGGAAAAAAAATTCACTATAATGTTTCAACCTCTAAAAGGACTTCATCAGACTAAAACAATGTTCTTAATAATGATATTATATATATATATATATACACACATATATGTAGGAGGAGGTGAGAATAGGAATGAAAACATTCATTAAAATTATAGACTAAGAGAAAATGCTGAAGATGAAAAGGCAATAAACTTTATATTTGAATTTTATAATTTTAAAATTTCTAGCGTACAATATGTCCAACCATCCTGGGTATGACAATAAACTACATCTGTGTCCTGGGTAAGACGATAAACTACATCCAACAGCAAGGTCTCTGATCAGGAGATTTTGGGAAGTGTGGAACCACTTCTTAATGGCTGGCATTCCCATGTCTACCCTGATCCGGGGTGTTAGCACCTGTTAGGGTCCCAGCTATGGGTAAATAGTTGACTCCCAAACTGGAGTTAAAACCCTATGAAATAATACTAGAAATACTTTGTAAAAAATTATTACCAGCAATAAATCTTTAAGAAAAATTATTACCAGTAATACATTTTTGAAAAAAAATATTACCAGCAATAAAAATCTTGTCAGCATTAAATAAGCCATTGCAGTTGATATGCCATAAAACAAACTGAACCAAAAGAAGTCAAAACACTATGAAAGTATAAAAATAGGTTTTAATACTAACAATAGATTTTTGAAAAAAGAAAAAATATTACTAGCAATATATTTAAAAAAAAAAATTACCAGCAATACATTTTTGAAAAAAAAATATTACCAACAATAAAAATCTTTTCAGCATTAAATGACCCATTGAGGTTGATATGCTGTAAAACAAACCAAACCAAAAATATTACCAGGAATAAAAATCTTGTCGGCATTAAGTAACCCATTGAGGTTGATGTGCTTTAAAACAAACCAAACACAGCCAATATGTCCAAATACAACAGCTCAGTCAATCTCACTCAGTTTCCCAAAACTTCTTGTTTTACTGCTGCTGTTTTAAAATATCTCACAGCACAAGAACAGAAGATTTGTTAAGAAAGGGGAAATGTTGTTAGAACCTTATTGTAAATCTACCATGGAAAACTCAGAAGTCAATCCACTTTCATGTTAATAAATTAATTTCTGCCTTAATTAAAACTACATTTATTAATTCAAAATTATGGTCAGACACTTTATAAAGAATGACAAATGCACTGAGTGTATTTGTTTTGTAAAAGATCCCTTCTGTGATCCCTTCTTCATAAAGAAGAATCCATCAATTTTTAATTGGTTTGATCCATATATATGTGAATATCTTTAGATAGGTGTGAGTGAAATGCAAACTTCTGGGCATACGCATGCAAAATCTCTATCTATAATGAGAGCTAATAGCTGACTGCCACAAATTGGTAGGAAGATATTATTGGCCAGCGTGAGAGCCAACAGCTGACTGACACGAATGTTAACTAGCATGCTAGCATGCAAAAAAATTGATAGCTGCATTCGTCACAAGTGGTAAAAATTTAAATCTGCATGGCACTTTACTCCAATTGGCTCATTCGCTTGGTTAAACTCAACGTTGATTCTGATTCCATAAGAACTGGGTTGGGTGTGAAAAAATATTTGTTTTTCATTCGGTTTTTCCAGTTTCTGAGTCCTTTTTAAAGCTGATCGTTTTGTGTTTATTTTGTTTAGTTCTTTTTTTTAACAGATTTAATGTTTAGTATAGAGTTTAGAAAAAAATTAGCAGTGTGAGATAGGCAAGAAGTAAGGCATGTAGCAACATCAGCACGGCAAAGGGCACTCCTTTAAAGGCAAGGAAGGGCAAAAATATTTTAAGTCAAGTGATAGCGATTGCTGTATGAGTCGTACAATTTTTGAATCAAGCACGGGCAACGCCGGGCCATGTTGCTAGTCAATTATAAAACATATCCAGTGTTTAGCTCCTGGCCCAAGTACAAGATGCTTCCAATGTTTAGCTACTGACCCTAAGTACAAAACGCATCTGGTGTTTGGCCACCAGCCCAAGTACAAGATGTGTCCAATGCTTAGCTACTGGCCCAAGTACAAGATGCTTCCAATGTTTAGCTACTGACCCTAAGTACAAAACGCATCTGGTGTTTGGCCACCAGCCCAAGTACAAGATGTGTCCAATGTTTGGCTACCAGCCCAAGTACGCAATGATTCCAATGTTTAGCTACTGGCCCAAGTACAAGAGACATCCAATCTTTAGCTACTAGCCCTAAGTACAATATACATCTGGTGTTTGGCTACTGACCCAAGTGCAAGAGACACCCAATGTTTGGCTACCGGCCCAAAGTACAAAATGCATCTGGTGTTTGGCTACCAGCCCAAGTACAAGATCTGTCCAATGTTTAGTTACCAGCCCTAAATACAAGACACATCTGGTGTTTAGCTACTAGCCCTAAATACAAGACACATCTGGTGTTTAGCTACTAGCCCTAAATACAAGACACATCTGGTGTTTAGCTACTAGCCCTAAATACAAGACACATCTGGTGTTTAGCTACTAGCCCTAAATACAAGACACATCTGGTGTTTAGCTACTAGCCCTAAATACAAGACACATCTGGTGTTTAGCTACTAGCCCTAAATACAAGACACATCTGGTGTTTAGCTACTAGCCCAAGTTCAAGCCATGCCAGGAAATGTGTTCTTCTTCACTAATATTTTTCAAATGCACATATCAATAGACATAATACACTCTGTTTAATCAATAAAAATGGGGCATCTGTTTCAAATACAGAGTATCCGCTATAATAATATGGTTTGATGCAATAAAATTGTTTGGTTAAAAATAAATCTTAGCCAACATATTTCATCCTCTGATGGGCTTTATTAAGGCAAATGTAAGGATTTCATTTTGCAATAAGTATTTATAAACTGAAATAAAAATTTAGTAGTTTGAAGAATTTTTATATTCAAGAATGTTCATAAATATATATCAGGCTAACTGAAAAATCAAGGTAAATTATGGAGGATGCTAAGTGATGTAATTTAATGTTTAATAAATGAACATGAGTAAATGTTGTTATTGTTGTTGAATTTTTTCTTTTAATGTAATTATTATTTATCTTTTAGTTTGAGAAATTAATTCATGTATATACAAAAGGTTTTGAATTTAATCATTTTCTTTTAATTTTTTTAAAATTTTTATATTCCTGTATGATGTTGTCTTGGGAAAGGAATGTTTTAGGAAAAGAAATATTTGAAAAAATCCTGGATGCAGATTTATATTTTGGTAAAAATCTGTAGTGACATTCTGAAGAATATTCCTTCTAAGTTACTTTCTCTTTCAATAAGTGTGTCATTTTTTTTAGATCAAAACTGTGGTTTAACTTATTTCTGTGTATGGCTAATGCACTTGATAAATTGTTGTGTATAAGATCCCTTTTGTGTTCATAGATAGTTTTTAAATTTTTGCATGTTTCCCCAATGTATAATGAAGAACAGTTGTGACAGTTTATTTTATATATAGCTGCTTCAGAATTATTATTGTAGTGGATTTTTTTTTTATTTCTGATCAATTCCATAATAGTTTTGATGTGGTTGTAATCCTTTTGAGATTGTTAAGATTGGATGAATTCCTTTGAATAGTAGATGTTAAGGAGTTAGTAAGTAATATTATATGTCTGTTTTTATCTAGTTTTTATTACCATTGTTGCAGTTGTATATTTTTTATGCCTTTCTCTTAGCATTGTAGATGAAATAATAAGGGTATTAGAGATTTTTTAAGTTTTTTCTATGCATATTTCTTGTTCAGGTAAATATTAGGGGCTGTGGATTCTTAGTGGTCTTATAAAAAAATCCTGTAAATTATTAACAGTCTAATAAAAAAAATCCTATAATTATTCCAGGGTTTCTTCTGTTGCAGTGGTGAGAATAGAAATTAGTAAGGTCATTATTGTTGGTTGATTTTCTGTAAACTTCCAACTGAATGTCATTATTAGTTCTATGTAGAATGATATCTAGGAAGAGTAAAGTGTTATAAAGATGGAACATCTATTTCAAACATTGGTATTCACTACAGTAATTGGAAATGAAATAAATGGAATAAAATAATAATTACAGAAATATGAAAAAAATGAACAAAACTCATTTTCATTACTTATTTTGGAAAAATGACATCATTTAGTGTTCTCAATAGTTTAACTTTCCTTTACACAGTAAATCTGAAGATTATTTTAGAGAATTCTCTAATTAAAAATTTGAAAAGTTAATATTTTGTTTTTCTCCGTGTAACTTCTGTTTATAAAAACAGGTTACTAAATAAAATTTCTATACTTGATAATGTTTCTCAAGAAACAAAACACATTGGTATAAAAGGTCTTCCTGTTATCTTGTCTATGTGTATATTCACAGTGTTTTATAAATCAAATTTGTGATAAATACTTGTACATATTTTTCCTGCAGTGATGTAGTACGTCTTGAAAGGCCAGACTTAGAAGAACAAAGAAATACACTGATCGTTCGGATCAATGCAGACAAAAATCAGTTGAAGGCCAGTGAAGACCGAATTCTCAAACTTCTCTTTGAATCGGAGGGCAACATTTTAGATAATGAAGAACTTATTAACATTCTTAATGAGTCCAAGGTAAGCAAAAATGAAGATTTAAAATTTTGTTTGGAAATTCCAAGCTGGGATGAATTTATCTTGCCCATGTAAAGAAAATGATTACTGTTTCATATGCAATGATTCTGTTGAATTAAAATTCTTATCTTCATTGTTTATATTCTTTTATCATAAGTTACAGCTATAAGTAAATGAGATTTACTTGGAAAGATGTTGAAGGTATGATAAATGTATTGTTCAACTGTGATGTTTGTATTTTATAGATTACTATTTACGCATACATATGAAATCTATTAATAGTTATAATTTCAGTGTATATATATATATAATTTTGAAAATACACAAAGGCATTTTCAGCTTGAGGAATCCTTTCAGCCAACACTACATTGGAAGGAAAACATTGGTATAATTAATGATGAGAAAAATGTGCTGTTGAGTGTAAGATTAAACACTTTAAAGAACCTGTAGTATTTGATCTCAGCCTATGTCCTGTTTATTTAAAATTACCGTAATGAGGCAAGAAAAGTCAAATGCTAGCTGACAGTGTGGGCTTTTATTACATCAAATTTTTCTACTGTAAATTTGTATGTTATTTTTGGGACTAGTTCAGTGTTTCCTTCATTTATCAAAGATGGTTTGTCCTATTTTCAATGTAGTTCCATCGTATATAAATTCAAATATTAATGTGAAGCTGAATGCATTGGACAAAACCAATCAGTGACTTGAAACTCTAATTAGTCAGCAGAGTTCTGCCAGTATAAGACTGAGTAGTTTGAGTTACTCTTTCAGTGTAAATCAGTCTGCACATGATTCAGACATTGGCCAGCATTTGCTTCCCAACACAGACTGCACTAACAAATATGTGAACAATTCTTTCAGAGTTTTGCACAGAGCCCAGTCTGCTCATCATTTACATTTACTTGAAGCTGTTCATATTAAGTTACATCAACTGGCTCTGTGCAAACAGAAGGAGTATTTCATTCACTCCATCAATCTTTTAGGAGGTTCATGAGTAGTTTTTCCATTTTATGCTCACTTGTTACTATTTATATTATATCAGTAAATTATTTTACTAATAAATATATTTTAACTGTGTTCCATAATTTCCTTCTTCGCCTCTTTCTTTTATCTATTGTGTGAATTATCCATATCTTTGTTCTCATTATTAATTACATCAGTATTTTCCTTCTGATGAAGTTTTGACTGAAAGGATTCTTCAAGGTGAAAATGCCTTCATGTGTTTTAAAAATTGTATGTTCTGTGGTATCAAGTCTTTGTTTATACTGCCCTGTCAGCTGATTGCACTCTGCAGAGGGGTAAGACCCCCCCCCTCAATGAATTCACCTGTTTGCTATGGGTTGTGACCCGTGATGCCTGAGGATGAGATTCTGGTAGTTGAGGACCTCAGGCATTTGGTAGAATACTTCTGATTTCCAACATGCTACTTTGGTCCTTACTTTGACTAAGATGGGTGGTCAGAGAGGCCCAAATTGATCAATTGGCTAATTATGTCCTAGTATCAATTCACCCTCCAAAAACACAGTCTCTCATAAAAAAAATCATACACACACCAACCAAATTTAATCAAATTGGTACTAGAAGGTAGTAGCAAGGGTCAATCAGGTTATGACTAGAATGCATAATCAAGAATTAAAACTTATGTTCAACTTTACAAGGGTAGATGAATGAAATAAACTATTGATGACTACATATAAACTATAAATCTGAGTATACCATTTTTGTATTCCTGAGATGCTTGGACAAATGGGACTCTCCCCAACTGTCTCCCACAATAGGGATTCAAGGAGGGTGGGGAGAAAAGATGATGAAAGAAAAAAATACATAATATAGCAACAAAGAAAATGAAAAACCCTTATCTGAATCAAGTTCTGATAATGAATCAAATTTGCATTGTTATTTCCCTCAATATTTAGTAATGGAATCACTTGAAGAAACTCCTATTACAAAACTATCTCCTTTCATAACTGAAAAAAACAATATATTCTCAAATTAATCCTATAACTGTAAAAAAATCAAATAATACAATAATAATTCAAGTAGGAAAAAATGTATGCTGACAAAATCCTGAAATGGTCAACATTTAATAATTTAAAAATCAAAACCTATCTACATCAAAATCTAAGCATATCTAGAGGTGTAATCAAAAGTCCAGATCTGGCAGCTTACTCTCTAGAAGAAATCAAAGTTAACCTAAAGCCCAAAATGTAACTGATGTAACCAGAATAACAATAAAAAAATGACAAAACCTTAAACACCAACATGTACATACAAAAATTCGACACATCCAAGCCACCAGCTGAAATAAAAATAGGGTATTTCTCTGGTGACAAAGAAAAGAGTACTGAACTGCTATGTGACATATGTCCTCCTATATGGCAGTGAATGTTGGACAGTCTCCTCAAAGATGAAGAAGAAACTCAAGGTGGCAGAGATGTGGTTCTACAGAAGGATGCTAAGGATATCATGAAGTGAGTGTGTGAGCAACGATGAGGTCTTGGAGAGGATGCAAACAAGGAGGGAGCTTATACTTAACATAAAGAAGAGGCAGATGAGATTTCTGGGATATGTAATGAGAAAGGAGGGCCTGAAAAATTTGATACTCACCGGTCAAATAGAGGGAAAAAGAGAAAAGGGAAAGCAATGCATGATCTATTTATCTGGCTGGCAGATGGCAGAACATGGTCTTGGGGAGTTGACAGAGGTACAAAACTTATTGAGAGTCACAAGGGATAGGAGGAAGTGGAGAGCTATGATCACCTACATCCTAAAAGGGCATAGCACATAAAAAGGAAAGAACTGCCAAAGATTTGGGCATCATAAAGACAGATGCACTAAAACCCCAGTGTGTCCAAAATGTAGCAGTACAAATCATCAAGAAACTGAGTGGAAAGGAGACCTACAATGCATAAACTGTAATGATAACTATTCTGCATATTTACAGCTATGTAAAGTTTGGCAAAAGGAAAAATAAAAAAATTGAGATCAAATATATGAGAAATATAGCTTTTCCTGAAGCCAGGAAAATTGCTGAAAGCACTAGACAAAATATTACAATAAATTATGCAAATTTAACTAAAACCCAACAACACACTGGTGAGAAATATGCATACTGTGAATTAACAACACTAATTCAAGCGCTTAAGAAATTAAGTGAAATATTGAAAACTGATATCAACAGAGAAAAGCAAAGAGATACACCACATCCCATATTAAAGACTGATATACCCAGTCAAAATATAAAAAATTCAAATTGGTCACACATAGAAACTAAAAGACCAAAAGTGGTATTTAATTGTACATCTTGATCAAGTGATTTCTCACCTATAACCCAAAGAGGAAGATCCCCAACAAAAAAAAAAGCAAATACAAAAAGCAAGAAAACACAAAAGTCAAAAAGAAAACTCTGTAAGGAAGAAATCTCCTAAAATCAACATAGAAAACAAGAATCAACAAAACGCTCAACCCAGGCAAAAAGGAAAATATATATATTTTTTTTCCTGTAAGGAAAAAAAAAACACATAAAAACAATCCAGAAAAAATGGAAACTTAAAGATAATCCAACAAAAGCCGAAAATCTAAAATTTAACAATCATGTATAATAAAATAATCTAATGGAATGCAAGAGGGCTAAAGGCAAATCAAGATGAATTGCTTTTGATTATTGCAGACTTATGTTCTGCAAGAGACTTTCTTAAAGAGCAATGAAGATATAGATATAAAAAATTACACAGCTTACAACTTTATTAATAATAGTAGAAGCAAAGCTTTGTATATTGGTAAAAAATGATATCCCCCAGAGCAAAACTGACATGAATACAACATTACAGACAGTGGCTGTAAGAGCTTCAGTTCATAAAACTATTGCCATAAGGTCTATTTACTTCTCAAATGAACTTACGGATGGAATGAAATTAGACAAACTACTAAAGCAGCAATCAAAACCCTTTATTCTAATAGGATATTTTAATACTCCTAATAACATGTGGAGTTGTAGAAACACAGACCAGAATGTAAGATTAATGGAAGATTTCATCAATAGAAACAATATATGTCTATACAATGACAAGTAGTGTACCTACCTTCACCCATCAAGTGCTACATATACAGCAAGAGATCTAACCTTATGTGACCCTGCAACATATCTAGACTATGGCTGGAAATCACTTCTCAGTTGTGTTAAAAACTCTGGATCTTTGCCAGATGAAAATACCATACTGAAAATTTAAGAAAGCCAGTTGGAAGGAATTTAAAAATGCATGTGTTCTAAGACCAGAAGCCAATGATAGACCTTGGTTTAGCAACAAGCATAAAAAACAATCAGATTGTGTCATGCAGCTATATGTAAGTTTAAATTACATCCAACTCAAGAACATCTGAATATCTACAAAATAAATAGAGCTAAAACACACAGAACAATTTAAAAAATTCAAATGATCTTCATTGTGTCTAATATTAATTTTAATCCCAAAACAGTTTGGAATATGATCCATAATATTGCTGGTTAAAATAAAAGCACTCTTTTATGACAAAACAATATCAAAGCAACTAACAAAGAAGATATTGCAAATTTATTAGTACAAAACTTTTCTCAAAATTCTTTCTCAAAAAATTCTACTAAGCTATTTCAGAATATCAAAACAAAAGAGAAGGAAAAATTAAATTTTTGTTCTTACAATAATGGCAATTACAACAAGGCTCCTACTTTACTACGCCCGGTCGGTGGGGCATCAGAATACGCCGACTGCCCCCCTGCAGAGAGTAAAAGTCCCTCAATGGGGCCACCTGTTGGCCGTGGGTGGCGACCCATAATGTCTGGGGACGGGATCCTGGTGGTTGAGCAGGTTGTAACCCAGGTGTAAAGCGGTCACAATCCTGTAACACACCACTTTGGCCCTTACCTGGGCGAGACGGGCGGTCAGAGGGGCCCGATCCGATCAATCGGCTGGTCATGTCAAGCCCGTCATATATAATCCAACCCAAACCTATAACTGACACTCCTC